GGAAGTAGACCGCTTAAAATTATGCCATTCTTAGAGGCGCGAGAAAACAATATTACAATGACACTGTATGGTCTTTATTTTCCTTTTAAATTAAGAAAACAGAAGAGGACAAATTTAAGTCCAGCTGTAAATTCTATGTAATGGGGGTAAAAATGCTATATTATTTTGGAAAGAGTTAACTTTGATCCACTAAGACATTTTTAGGAAGCATAAATATAGACTGTGATTAGAAATATCATATTACCTACCTTTAAAACCATTTCGCTTGTACTGGCCATTCCTGTCCTTGACATTTCTTAGAAGTAAAGCTATAACGAAGCATGTTTCTTAGAAAAAAAGGATGTTTCTTAGAAACTGAAACCGGTTTTTCTTTCTCCTGGGTTAAGTAAGGTCAAAATGTTCCAGGGGGAACAACTGATTTTAAGAAACGCGACTTGAAGCTGCTCCTCGAAACATCGTAGAGCATATATTTTGATTTGAAAAAAAATTCTATTTACTCCAGATTCTTTGACTTCAAAGAGATCCTCTTCTGACCGAGAGGGTCGTTTACCCATAACCAATGAACTAAAATTCATAAATAGTCGCTAGTGAGGGCACAATTTGTCAGGTTTTGGAGTTCTAGGAATCCTCCCCTCACTGGCACATATCGATCTGAGTTACCTACCCTGACTGGGACTTGGAAATCCCCCACTTTTGTCACCTGACACATGCTTATAWAACAGAACTGGGTTGTGCAGCCTGATTCATTTCATCGGAACGTGCCCTACTAATAGATCCTGCAAAGGTAAGTTCGATATGATTAGGAAATTTGAAATAAGACGAGCTTCGCATCATTCGATCTTTAACGGGTTATTATKGTAGATCCAAAAACAACACATTTAAAATATTCGTTTTTGATGACGGGAATACTACTTTCATTGTTCCAATTATTTGGTTAAAGGGACAATACCGAAGCCTGGTAAATAGTACTGTACTGAAGATCTGTAAAACAACACTGAGACAATTACAGCTGGGAAAATGCATGGATCTTTAAAAACTGATATTGTTTACCAAAACGTTAAAAGAAAAGATTTGACAAAGAAAATTGTGGGCACTTCGTCCAAATTTCTAATCACCCCCATTTTTTTTCGTTTTGTTTTTTATAATAGTCATTTATTTATATTCGTTATTATTGGTTCTCGCAGTTACTAAAAAAAAAGTGATCGAAATTCTTAGCATTTTATATTCTTGCGATTTTTTGTTGTGTCATTCGTTATACTATAAYTTCGTTTTCACTTTCGTACTTCACATAATGCTTCCTGGCATCACGTCACTCCTATTGACCCCAGTAGAAATCGATCTCTGTTAGCAATTTAAATCTAAAAGCAAATTCTTTATTTAGTGTGTAGTTTATTGGGAACCCTTTCTCTCACAAATATTTCCACTACATCCACTAATCTATAGAGGCTTTGCTTCATCACGTGACGGTAGCCATGGCAGGAGGCAAGAATTCAGTTTTCTAGGCGAAAAAAGATTACATTGTTGCGCATCATGTCATGGCTGCCATCACGTGATGGTGCAAAGCCTCTGCACATAAAACTCTGAGGTTATTGAGAACTTCCCTAAACAGCTGCTTTCACTTATAATTATGTTATACATATTATATTTTGAACGACACAATGGGTAAATAATATTCTAAGACAATATAGCAATAAGCTTAACAATTCCCAAGCCACTTTTTTATGCAAGCCCGCGAAGCTATTTAAAGGCGATCTTCTGGACATGCGCAATAACGTTTTCAATGTGCACTTGTTGTGATTTGGAAAACCTTTTTGATACTTAGTCTGTTTGAATTTTATTCAGTTGTTTACCGGTTTGAACAGAAAATTCCACCGTAATAACCAGCAGATCTTGATCTTGACCCCAAGCCATGTCGTTGAATGAAACAGATGTTGCAGTCGTCGAGAAGGCAGTTCAAGAAGCTCTCGAGCAGCTAGAGAAACATGCCCCTGAAGAGTACGCCAAGCTGAATGCAGATCCCGAAAAGAAGAAAGCCGTTACTGAGTCAGCGAAGAATGCAGCGACTGAACACGTCAAACTGGCCAAAGAATTTGCTGACCAACCAGATGACATCGCTGAACGACTTGCCAAGCATCTTCCAGAACATAGAATATTGTTACTCCAAAAAGGACTGGAAATCCCGACATTTCGAATGAATATCRTCAAGAAGGATGACGGGAAACACTGGGTGGAACTAACGAGAGAAGGGAAAGCACTAGAGCCAGCTCAAGCACTACTGGGTTCTGTTGACATCGATTGGGCAAAGCTTAAACAATATGCCAGCATCTTGGTGGAAGCCATAATGCTTGTGATGTCAGCAGCAGGGATTTCTGTTTCCCCAAGTGCTAAAGCCACTGAGAAAGCCATTGACGAGACGGTTGAGGCGATCAAATCCTCTTCAAGACTACAAAGAGCTTTAGAATCCTTTGTTAAGGCCTGGAACGAAGCTGGAGGAAGTGCCTACCAAAAAGCAAAAGCTCTTTTCTTCCTGATCAAGGACAGCTATGCAGCTGGCATTCTATGGACCATCATTAAAGCTTTGTGCAGCAACATGGCCTGGTATGATTGGTTAGAAACGTCTGCTAAAGTCACCGCCATGATTATTGCATCTCTGGCCACTGACGGTGCTGYCTTGATCGCAGAAATTGCTTTGATTGCGTTGAGTGCAGTGGATTTTGCGAGAAAGATCGTCAACCTGAACCAGCTCGAAGCTATCAAGATGTAGAAGAGATGGGAGAAACACTCACACTGAACTTGCTTTTTTACGATAAGCACATGAACATGATAAGGTTTGAAATGATATAAATTAGAAAAATTGTAAGCTCGTCATACTAAATATAAGCCATGAATGATTAAGTTCCTTTAACTTTAATTGTAATTCTTGATTGTGTGCAAATAAATTTGAAATTATAAATGTGTTGTTTCTATGGGACATAGTAATAATCACTCTTCCTTCCATTTGTCAGTTCATTTCATTCATCCAATCTATCTAGCTATCCCTTCATCTAGCTATCCGTCCGTCAGTATGTTTATTTTTTTCAGTTTCAAATTAACAAATAAAACAGCTTTTTTCCGTGCTCCGTTCAGTTATAAAGCACGCAGAGCTACGCAGGAGGTGGCGTAAGCACGAAAGAAGTGTAAGGAGAAAAACAAGCCGTAGGCGAAAGCTTTTTACGACTTCTTGAGTGCTTACGGCGCTTCCTAAGTGATTTATTACTAAATGGAGGACGAAAAAGCTGTTTTATTCGTTTTATCATATAGCTATAATTTTTTGTCGGTACTGAATTTATTTACGCAGAAAGAAAGACGGTCGCAGGTTCTAGCAGCACTTTGCGCGCGCGGATGGCGTCAGCCTGACTGTTCTCTTTTTTCTCATGTTTTACTTGTCCCCTATAATGAAAACCATAAAGTGAAAAAATCAAATCAAAATGCACTACAATGTTTTGTTCTCCCACTTAGGAATTTTGTCAAATGTGCACAACCCACCACCCCAGTTTTGTTGTTTGAAAAATCTTCCACAAAGCTTTCAATGGCCGATGTCATTTTTATGCTTTGAATTCCGGGTTATTTTTACTTGAAAAACGAAAGATACAAATCATCCAATAAAATATCAATTTTAGTGAAATTTACCTTGGATGTCTTTCATTAAAATTCAAGTTTTGGAGATTTCCAAACTTTCCATGGACAAATCAAGACTATAACACAGACTTTAAAAAAGTGTGCAAAATATAAGTTTACTTTTACTTCCAATTCAATAGCGATATTTGGTTATTCATATGAAGAGTTATATGTTTTTTTTATGAAACGTATTTTTACCGCAATGAAAATTACAAAATAAATTAAATGCTTTGGCAGGAAAAGAGAGAAAATTAGCTGGAGATGATTACGRCTAAACTAGTCAAGTTTGCGAGGCCCTKAAGGACAAAACTAAATGTGTTAAAAATCAACATTTTCTTATCCTAATTCTTCATTAATATATCTTATTACTTTCATATTAGCCTTAACTATTCTTCAAGAAGGTTAAAAAATAAGTTATTACATTTCGAGATTCCATTTGACCAGTTTTCATATTTGTTTTCATGCGCGAAAAAGATGTGGAAATCACGAAAGCCAAACGTTTTCGACCAAAATAAAGTTTGCATTCAGTCAAACTTGACAAAAAAAAA